AGAACAAACACACGTTTGGCGCCTTTGTTTCCGGAACAAATTTGTACTGCCCAGGTCACGGTGTCACAGGCTGCAGTGGGCTTCTGGACACCATAGTATGTGCTTTGAAGTCAAACAATTTGTCTGAGTTTGGTGATCCTGAATTATTTATACATTTTGAACAATTCGATATGAATGTGTTTGAAACTGAACACCCCCTACTAATATGAATAAAATATACCTTTTTTTATTTCATTCCAGCCTTTTTTGGATGTAGTCCTCAGTCAACCAAGTTTCTCATGAAGTCATATATTTAGCTTGGCCATATGTCAGCAGATTAATGCTATATAGTTCAAAGTTTAACAGTGCAGCTAAATTGCAATTTCCTACCCAAGGATGTTCTCATAGATGTCCCTTCAGGGTCTTTTTGGAGTCTTATTTTTATTGTGATGTCTAGTTAGTGACTTTTATGCTGTAGTGAAAGTTATGCTGTCGTTCAGAATATTCCCCGATGAAATAATGTGATTGTTCTTAATGGATATTTAGATTGCAATGTTTACACTATTGAAATTAAAGCAGATTTGTACGTAATGCCAGTCATATGTGCGTTGCAGTTAACCGTGAATGTTGTTTTTGTCATGATCGTTTTAAGAAAATGTGCAATCATTTCAACAATATAATCATTTTTGGTGATGTAAGAATATGTGCAATTAGAGAAATAAACAAATAGAAGAATAGGCTTTTCTATGTGTGAGTTCCATTCGCTGTTTCACTTTCCCTAGGCGCATGAATGCGTGAGGATGAGAGAGTGTTACTCACCCATCTGTGAATTGGTAAAAAGCATGTTTTCATCATATTTTGAAGCTAAATGCAGGTGACATTGGCCTTGGGCAGCCTCCACCCTGTGTTATATTCCATTAGTCTGGCCAGCCTGCTATTTAGGTCATTTAGGGCCAACTGTAATCTTGAAACATGGATGCTAATGTTGTTGCATCTCCATAATGAGAGATTTGAGATGTTAATATCAAGACAGTTTAATAGATTAATTAAGGAAAAATAAAAAAGATCAACATAGATTAGGTGAAGTATTCAGGTGCATACAAACATACATTTTGAATGTGTGGATGTGGCTTACTGTAATGCATTTGGTTAATATCCTGCTTTTCTTTTTCTTTTTCTTTTTCAATTTCCATTTATTTGATTTTGGCCCAGCAGTGCTAAGAGGTATCCAAGGTAACTATTAAATGAAGTCAGTTTTACAACACTGATCTCTACACTGTTTAAGCTTTGTATGCCAGCAGTGGAAAATATAGGTTACATTTTTATTTTGTATAGGTCAAGGCTTGTGCTGTATGATTAAACATTCAAAATATCATGATAGAGAAATCATCACAAAGTGTTAATAATTCAATTCATATTCCAGCAGCATTACTTTTCATAGGCCGTGAAATAGGATTTTTAATCATGCTACTGTTTATATTCTATAAATATTTCATTGGTGAATCTGACAAAAACATGTCCACATGTCTATGTTAATATCTGTTTTAATGACCTTTAAGCTCTTTTCCCACCAAATTCTCATTACCGTGATCCCTCCAAGTTTATTACACAAAAAAAATACTGCAATATTATGATTTATGAAGATGCCACCATGATTTCCAAATACTTTTTTACTTTACAACAATAAGGGTTTTTTCTGTTGTTGTTTTTCATTGAGAATGAGAATTTGTGTGTAGGTATACTTAATTGCGATGAATTTGATAATTCACAATCTAAAATAAATATTCCTGAAATGCCTTTACTGTATTTTGTGTAAGCAATATCTATTTTGCTTTTTTTTCCCCTTATGATTTTGTGGTGAAATATGAAGTTCCTAATACTGTTTATTATATTTAGGTAGCCTTTGAACAATACATACTGTATAGTATTGTTTTTTTTTTTTCTGGGGTTAAGCTATTGAAAGACATTGCATTTAATGAAACTATCTCCATATACTAAAACAACATCATTTGCAGTCAGTGAGTGTGATATGCAAAGTCTCCCAAGAGAGCTGGAGCTGGAACTAGTCTTTCATATTTTATCCCTTTCTATCCGACATTTTCTGTATGTCCTTGCCTTGTCATTGATTACAGAAATTATGTAAGGTATCCACAAAATACATTTGGAATAGATTGTGACTTAACATCGTAAAAAGCATATTAAGCACATGGAAACGATTCATTACAGCTAATTGACCTTTATTGAATATTATGATTCTTGCTTATGTGAAACCAATTTCCAGAAATGAAAATTCTCTTTTACTTACCATGTTGTTAGAATCTTGGTTTCATGGAAGAAAGAGGGCAAGGTTGACAATTAAGAGTACTAATGTGACGTTTTTAATACTCTGACTTTGTTTTTAACCTGAAATTATGAATGTTTTGGTTCCTCCCCCCTTAACCTTCTTAGTGATAAATCCTTCTAGTCTCATCATAACTGCACTCCTCACCTGGCAGAACCGTCTCATCATGCCTGCCGTATCTTCCTGAAAACAGATGCGTGCAATTTATTTAAGGCAATGACGCAGGGCACTGTTGAAAGTCTTGGATAAAGCAGAACATACAGTGAACACACATTCATGTGGGCAGAGGAATGAATGCTTATCTCCTGTTTGTCAAGTGCTTTGGTATGTTAGCCCACCTGTTTCGCCAGCCCTCAGTTTCGGTGGACTTTCCCTCTGATTAGACACCATGCTACGTGCTGAGAGAGATTTCATCTTTTAGCTTGAACACTGAACATATTCTGTTGAGTTGGAACAGAATAAATGAAAAACCTTGTTAATGTGAACACATTCTCTTCAGTGTTCAAGCTACAGGAAAATGGGCACCAAAGTATAACATTTCAGACTGAATTATATTGATGGCCTCATGTCCCAAAGGCAGTTTTTTTTTCTTTTCGGTCTGTCATACAACTGTTTCATAGTTTGTTTTCCATTTGAGCCTTGTAAAGACAGTGCTGAGTGCTCTCTGGGATTGCCCCATTTACTTAATGCTTTCCAAGATGGTGGACAACATATGTTGTCAATTTAATACTGCACTGGGGCATGTCAGAGGAAACATCTGATGGGCCCATACTTCCTAGGTAGAACTCTTTCTGTAGTCTTTACTCACAGCATGATACCCTTTAGTTCTCATAAATATCTGATGACATGCAGTCCAGACATTTACTTTTGTAAATTTACACTAGCAGGTAGGAATTCAGCAATGAACTGACTTTAGCTGGAAAAAGGACTCTTTGTTATTGTCTTCTTGCATTATTGACAAACTATTTTCCTGTTTGACACTGTAAAGCTGCTTTGACACAATCGGTATTGTATAAAGTGCTACAAATAAAGGTGACTTGACTTGACAATGAAGCAGCTATACCATCATCTTATTTTTACTGTTTACATTTTGTTTTCCATTGTTTAACTCTTCATCGGAACAGATTTTGAGAAATTTTACATCACTTGCTCAACAAGTGGATCCTCTGCAGTGAATGGGTGCCGTCCGAATGGGAGTCCAAACAGCTGATAAAAACATCACAATAATCCACAAGTAATCCACACCACTCCAGTCCATCAGTTAATGTAGCTATTGTTAAAGGGATAGTTCACCCAAAAATGAAAATTTGATGTTTATCTGCTTACCCCCAGGGCATCCAAGATGTAGGTGACTGTTTCTTCAGTAGAACACATATGATTATTTTTAACTTTAACCGTTGCAGTCTATCAGTCGTATAATGCATGGCAATGGTAACAAAATCTATGAGAGTAAAAAAAAACATGCACAGACAAATCCAAATTAAACACTGCGGCTCGTGACGACACATTGATGTCCTAAGACACCGGCTGGAGTTAAAAATCATCATATGTGTTCTACTGAAGAAACAAAGTCACCTACATCTTGGATGCCCTGGGGGTAAGCAGATAAACATCAAATTTTCATTTTTGGGTGAACTATCCCTTTAAGCGAAAAGTTGCAAGTTTAAAAATAAATCCATCATTAAGACTTTTAAAACTTGAAACCATTGCTTCTGGCTAATTCACTAAGAGTAATAAGAGTCCTCTATCCGTAATATTGCTTTCTGCAGAGAAAAAGTAATCGAGTCTGAATCAGGAGAGAAATTTTCACACATCAAGCACAATTTACAAGTAAAAACAGTTCTAGACAAATATATCGGTGGATTTTGATGTGAGAGGACAACAGGGGATGGACTTTTTCACTGGAGGAAGCGTTTTTGTATTACAGACTGGTACTTTGACCAGAAGTGAACAAACTTTTCCCTTTCCAATATGCTAACTGATGGACCGTGGATAACTTGTGGATTATTGTAATGTTTTTTTATCAGCTGTTTGGACCCTCATTCTGATGGCACCCATTCACTGCAGAGAATCTCTTGTTGAGCAAGTGATGTAATGCTAAATTTCTCCCAAATCTCTTCCAATAAAGAAACAAACCGACTACCTCTTGGATGGCCTGAGGTTGAGTACAATTTCAGCAAATTTTCATTTTTCAGTAACTTGGCTATATAACTATATACTGTTTTTCTTTTTTATAGGCAGACATAGATATTTGATTGAAATGTAGCATAGTTGTTGTTAGGCTCGCTATTTTACAGAGCAGTGGTCATCTAGAAAAAATGGCTTTAGCTTTTAGAGAGGAAAGTCCTTCTGGTTCCTAAAGTATTGTATGTCCGTGTTCTTAAGCCACCTCATTAAAAATGCACTCGATTGAAGGCAGTTGAAGGACATGTTTGATGCCGAACATGTCTTTGTGAATGGACGTCATTAGATTGCCCTTGGAATTGAAGTAAATTGGCTTCAATCCTCTTCAATGTGAAGAGTGGAATCTTTGATGTGCTTTTATGTTTTGACCAACATCTCATCCCCACCCCAGTGCTTTGAATGAAACACACAATATTAACATGCCAACAGGACACTTGAAATAATAATCTACACTTACAGAATAATACGATACACATGATTGCAACGCTGCCCACATTTTATGAAATAAGTGTTACATAAATACACCTCAAGAGAACAAAAGACAAATTACATTCATACAGAAAAGAACATTTGAAGTGGTTGAATTTAGGTGCAGCATATACACAATAGAACTTGGAAAGCAAAATGTACTTTCACACAAAGTACAACCTTAAATACCAGGTCAAAAAACGACAAGCAAATATGTATATGAAACATATGAAACCGTCCTGCAGTGAGTGTTTTGTTTTCACTGAAACAAATGATCACAAACAACACAACAAAAAACATGAAGAAGCATTATGAGCAACAGTAATTGGCACACATTCATGAAAAATAAATGACATTCAAGGTAAAGAATATTGTGTTGAGTCTGATGATGAAAACCTGATGAAATGATACAGTGGATGTTTGATTGGCATTTGTTTACATGCTGTGATTTGCAATATTAATACTGATTTGTTCTGAACCCAGAATGAGTTATGTTCCTGTTTAGGGTGGAAGAAATGCACACAAATCATGTCTGCAGTACAAAGCGATATTATGCACACCCCCATAAAATATTCAAATGTGATTACAGCTAAGAATATAATATTTACATAATTAGTACTAGCACATTCCCGCATTTGTAACGTTGTCAACAATTCTGTTCACAGTTTAAATATGCGTATGGACAAAAGCAGGAATTAAATTAGTTCACCCAAAAATAATATACAAGCTTGTTTTCACATATGTGCAAACCACATAAATTGGCTCACTGAACAGAACCGATCCAAAATAATAATTTATAAAATATACAATTTATATAATAAAACTCACAGTGAATAATGACTTACATTTCATGTAAAATTAACAGATTAAAATGTAAATATTGTATGACTTCTGAAAGCTTAGAATATAGTCTATGAGTCAGAAGCGGTAATATTTATATGACTTTTTTGTTTGACAGAGGTGGCCACTACAAGCTATCCTTGGAAAGAGGGGAGTCAGATTAATCGGAAATTCTACTTTTGTCCACATACGGATTTGGAAGGACATGAAGGTAAGTAAATAACGGCAATTTTCATTTTTGGGTGAACTATTCCTTTAAGCATTATGAAAACTGGTTGTCGGATTGTTGATTGTCAGAAGTCTAAAATGGTGTGAGTTTAGGTAACGCTGTGACATCAAAGGAAATGAACAGTGGGTACATTATTCAAATCATATGGAATGCAATTGAATTTAGGTAGAGTGGGTGAAAGGAATCCCTGCCTTTGACTAAAGAGAGCGAGACCTCAAACTCTCCAAGCATGTTATAGGAAAAGTTCCTGAGTAACACTCTAGGTGGCGGATTATTGTACCTTATTTCACAAAAGCACCGTATTAAAAGAAACATACATGACTGAGCACTACAAGCATGTTAAGAAATATGAAGTCAAAAAACACTGAAAATGTGGCACGTGTAGTATAAATTTAATTGTGAAAAAATAAGCATATAAGTTGAGAAATATATTTTAAATAAAGTGGTAAGCATGTTTTTGTACTGTAATGCTTCACACTGAGTTCTTACTAAACCCAGAAATGTTACATAAATTCTGGTTCAATCTCCAGTGTCATTTTTAGGGGTCCCTAAAACAAGTGTTTATGAATTATTATACAGAATACTCACACTATCTGTGATTTGTGTCAAATAACGGATGTGAAGTGCTGTGATTTACGTTGAATCCTTCAAATAAATTATCAACTAAAATCGAGCATACTAATAATACTAAAGTTTCGATATAGTTATTGTCCAGATGAACAATAATTGGTTATAATACGGTCTACACAGGAAAATAGAAGATTTACCCCAAGTCATTATTATAAAAGAAAAAGTGGCACTGGCTTTTGGGCACTCTTCATTTTTTTATGTTTCAACATACATACCTTTTTTTTTTTTTTTGTAAAAATATAAATTTCCTATTAGTGTGATCATCACTTGGATTAGATTTATAATTCATTTTTATCATCACAGGGACAAATATAAGACAAAGTGCATTACACATGAAATCTGACAAAAGAACTGAATATTTACACTTAATTCCACTGTGCACAGCAGTTGCGCAAACTAAAATACTGTAAAGTACAAAGACCAGGCCAGTAATGCTTATATCCACTTAACATTAAATGAAGGTAGCAAAATGTTTTTCAGTGTAAATTCTAGGAGAAATGCCTTTTCTCCACCCTTCAGAGAGATAGAGCAGTGAATTATGGGTAAAAAGGTCCAAGTCAGCCATGTGACAGCTGTCGCTATATCCAACAGTTTATTTATTTATTTTTTAAAGCGGCATACTGCCACATTCAGTGGCATCAGGCAAAGGGATTCTCTGGTTTTAAGGTGCTGTTGTCAGTGTCATGGCAGTTTTTGCCATTCAAGTGTTCTGTGTGGCCGTCGATGCTGTAACAGCCCTGGACCTCCGTAATGGAGGATGCAGTGTACGACGCAGACCTCAAAGCATCAGACTGTATGATGGTGCTTCCAAACTGTATGCGGTACTGATTCCAGTGCCTTCTCAAAACCGCTTGGACCTGAGGAAGTGATGGACAGATGATCTGCTCAGTCAACAGAAATCACTAGTAATGCAGCATAAATAATCCATTACCTCCTTGGCTGAGCCTTTAACAGTTCACTTTTAATTTTAGTTTTACAAAATAACAAACTAGTGCATAAAAAACATAAAATAGTAAAATTTCGGGGAGGGTGTAGTGACCAAAATCATACCATTCATTTAATCATTGTTTGAAGTTGTTTTTGTTTTTTTATATTAATAATTACATTTAGCAAACAACAAAATATAATATTTGTAGTTATATAAAACTAAAACCATGAAAAACTCAAAATTAAAATACATTTGAACTGAAATAAACTACATAAAAAGTTGCCAAGGTAAAATTTCTCATTTAGTTTAACTTGATACTAAAATGGTACTAAAATAACTAAAACGGACACTGAAATAAAAAATAAAGAAAAACAATACAGACAATAAAAAACAAATACTAATAAAAATGACAAAAACATTGCTATAATAGTGTCTCAGTGATACTAAAATAACACGGGATGTTGCTTAACCATATGGTAATATATATTTATGCATATTGTAATTTAAATAATTACTATACAAATGTACATCATCTAATTTGATTATTTTCTCTGGAACACAAATCAAGCGATAATTTGAGAGTTTATTAATGACAAATTAAGTCTGCCATCAGTGCTAAAACAGTACTGCAACAAAACTCAAAACATATATTATAAAATGTCTCGGGTTACAAAATGCACTGCTCTGCATGGTTCCCCGAGAGGGAACGAGACGCTGCGCCCCCTAGGGGGCACTATGGGGAATGCAGTCTGCATGACTGGTGTCTGAAGCACGTGTGAAACCATGACAATCTATTGGCCCACCTGGCCCATGATGTCATAGGCGGGATTCCTGGAAGTATAAAATGGCACCTGCCGAATACGTCATCCACTTAGCTGTCTGAAGGAGACGTCGACAGGCAGGCTGAAGGCATGGCAAGGGGACGCAGCATCTCGTTCCCTATCGGGGAATCATGGTTACATGCGTAACCCGAGACGTTCCCTTTCTAGGGAACTCAACGCTGCGCCCCCTAGGGGGCACTATGGGGAACACAATCCAACCAAGCCGTGCTGAGGCGTATGCCTGTCCACCTGGTGGAGGAGCACCAAAGAGGTGACATACATACACCAAGCCTTTCCTCAGAAAGGGGCCATGCCACTGACGCCACGGGCCGCTCACGCAACTTGGCAGAAACAGGGAATCCGAATAAAGGAAACATCCCACCCAAGTTAAGAGCACAGCTATCACAGATGGCTATGCTATATGAGCAGAACTAGCCTGGACACATAAGACCACTGAAGAGGATAACAGAAAACCTCCAAAGGAACTCAGAGATCCGAAAAGGAAGTAACTGCTGAGCTAGAACATGGCTATCCTTGGATAGCAATGCCCCTAAGGTCTTATGAAGGCTTGTGGACCAGAATGGCATGACATAAGATAGCCTCCCTATAGAGCTGCCTAGACCACAGAGAGTGGGCCAAACAGGGGAGAAAGCACTGTCCAGGCAAGGGCTCAAAGAGACCGCTACTTAAAGACCCTAAGAGGGGAGCAGTCACTAAGCTAGCCCATAGATATCCTCAGATAACTACCTACCCAGGAAGGGCTACAGGACTGAAACTAAGGGTGCTTTCACACCTGGCCTGTTGTTTTGGAACCTGGCGCGTTTCCCCCCTTAGCTCGGTTCGTTTGGGCATATGTGAACACGGCAA